TTGTCAGTAGTGATCCAAACCAATAGTCAGGCGCAGTTCTGTGACTTCACGCTCCGGCTGGAGGCCAGTAAAGAGATGATGAAGGCTATGACCGATGGGATAAAGCCCATGCTGGACCTCATCGACCCATAGTTGCCGGAGCCCGACAGGCAACTGCAGTCAGATGTCATCATGGAGAGGTGTAGGTCGGCGTTGGAGAACTTCAAGCATTACGCTCGTGGCGTTGTTTGTTCGGCCATGGGCCATGCACTAGCGGTTGTCCGGTCATTCTACCCCTCAGTGAATCTCGAATGAATCGATGGTGGCTTTGCCTGAAATCTAAGCGACGAGCAAATCACCGTGCTGGAGGAGGAGGTGTCTCATTCGGCAATCAAGCTGGCAGACGACATGGATCTGTTTGGCGATGCTGATCCTCAACCATGATGACATGTAACAAATTTATCTGCGTTATGCCGAACAGCTATGTATGAAACATTATGTTTAAGATGTATGAAATGTTAATATTTAATATTAACAATGCATTGTTAGTCTTTTATCTTGTTATCTGCCCCAGCTATTCCACACCCCATGGCGTTAAGAGCTTAGGTCCTGTGCGCGCTTAGGAATATAGGTATCATCGAGGAGCCACTGCCAACTGCCAACTGCCCACGACGTAGAGCACTATTGCCCTTGCACGTTTAGGTGCTGGACTGAGAACGAGACTTCTTCTAGATAACGCGAAGGAGAACGTGGCTGGTCGACGAATCGAAGGGTGATAGTATATGTCATCTTAAAGATGTTTAGTATGGAGAAATAAGTAACTTGAGAAAAATTATGGAAAACAAATGGAGAAAATGTCACATATATAATTATTATTGAAATAAATAAAAAGGTACATATCTTTAGTAGAACGCCTCAAGGATAGAAACGCCTAAGGTGTTTAATGTGCCATGAATTAGTGGTGTTGACATCGTCTTGATCGCAAAGCCTATATGACACTGGTCGGGTCATAGCTTTTATATGTATGGACCTTCGTAGAATCGGCGATGCAAGCCTCCATTCTGGCCGAGAGGTCCATCGCTTCGGCGATGGCGAGTCCTTCTCTTTCGCATTCGTAGGCGGTGGAGACATTGGCGCGCAGGGTGAGGACGCCCTGCTCCGTTGGAATCTTCAACACCAGATAGACATAATGGGGCACGGCCATGAACTTGGCGAGAGCTGGTCAGCCAAGGATGGCGTGGTAGGCGGTGTCGAAGTTTGCCATAAAGAAATTCACGTACTCAGTACGGAAGTGGTTGGCGCTGCCAAACTGAACTGGCAAGGTGATCTGCCCCAAAGGTTGGGACGCTGCCAGGTACAATACCCCAAAATGGAGAATCAACATGGACGAGATCGTCCTTTGTGAGGCCTAACTCAGTTAGGGCTCCGGCAAAGAGGATATTGAGGGCACTCCCACCGTCGGTGAGGACCTTCTTGAACCGCACGTTGCGGATGGTTGGATCCAACATGAGTGGGAAATGCCCAGGGTTTGGGATCTCTGCCCATTGGTCGGCCCTACTAAATATGATAGGATACTCCGACCATTCCAAATATTTGGGATCAGCGATCATGTTGTACTTGGTGATCGACATGACCTACCAAGTGGTGAGCTTCTACTGGCGTTTGCTCTCGGAGGTGGCGCAGCCTCCAAAGATTATGGCGACCATCTTGTTGGCATCTTGGAAAGCAAGTCATGCATCCTTAGGACGCTCCTCCTCCTTGCCATCATCGGACTCATCGTCCTTGCGCGTCTACCGTTTCTGCTGTTCATCGCGAAAAGCTTTGGCCATGCCATAGCATTGCCGCATGGTGTGCTTGCTGTTCTTGTGAATTGGGCACGGACCATCAAGGAGCTTTTTTTAGGCAGCATTAAAATTGCGCTTAGCGTGTGGCTGCTCTACGTTGTTGATGAAGTTTTCTGGTCGGCGGTGATGTGGCTGTGTAGTCCTCGATCCCTCTGACCGATCATTATGTTGGCGTTCGTGATCGTCGTAACGCCTGTCGCGATCTTTATAACGTCGTTCTTCGCGGTGATCATCATCACGACGTGGGTGGCGATGAGAGCGGGAAGCACGAGCAACGTCATCCTTGAACTACCGATCAGCTTCTTTGGAATCTACGTATGAGTTTGCATCCTTGAGAAGTTCACCGATGGTCTAGGGCCTCTTGCGGTAAAGTTTGGAGCGCAGCTCCTGATGGTGATGGAGTCCTCTGGTGAAAGCGGAGATGGCCTCGCTATCTCCGATGTTGGGGATGGTGTTCCTTGTTTTAGAGAAGCGCCTAATGTACCTTCGCAGAGTTTCCCCAGAGGTCTGATGGAGTTTCTCCAGATCATATTTCGTGCTAGGCTACTAGCATGTTGCTATGTAATTCTCGATGAAGACTTTCTTGAGATCATCCCAAGATTTGATGGAATCCTCCCTTAGGCCCATAAGCCAATTGTTGGCTATCTGGGAGAGCATGACAGGCAAATAAGTTGCCATTACGTCGTTGTTTCTCCGGTGGCACGTACGGTAAGCTCATAGAGCTGCATCCACTGCTCGGGATTAGCCTTGCCATCATAGGGATCGACCTCAAAGATCTTGAAGCCTGCGGGCCACTGATACAGCTTGCAGCCTTGCTGTGAAGGGGTGGGGCCCCATCGGCTCGATAGAGGGGAGTTGTCGAAGGCCGATGGGGTCGCCGTGTTGGTCATCGTACTCCTATCGGCGTTGGAGTTCTGTCTTGATGTCGCTGAGCCAATGTTCTTGATGCGATTGCGGACATCGAGATTGGCGTTGATGCGGTCACGGGCATCACCGCGTAGGGGTTGATTAACCTTCTGATTGGCGTTACGAGCTGGTCAGCCATGCTGATTTTGCGGTCCTTGTGATCCAGGATTGATGGCGACATTTCCCCTGGACCCCTGTTGGACGATCGGCGCCATGGTAACGACTCCCCTCATCACGGCAAAAACTACGGGGGTTACGACGGTGTGCGGTCGCTGTCAAATAAGAAGGAGCTAGGTTCTGGATGTCGTTGACTTGGACCTTAGCTGCTTTAAGCAGTGCTTGAATCTTGAGTACCTCCGGCGTTGGTGGGAGTCTAGCCAACTCGTGGGTAGCCACAACCAGATTGGCGCTCGGTGTCTGCTCTACTTGTTGGTTGTCCACCATGAGGAACTCTTGTTGAAGATTACGGGCGAGAGGCGACGGGCCACCTCGGGCAGCTTGGACGGCGTTTTCTGCTTCTTCGTTGCGATGTCGCTGGCGATCAGCATTCCTGGTTTCGCGCTCATGGCGCTGGACACTGGTTTCTCTGTCGATAACAATGCTATCGTGGCTAACCATGAAGAGCTCTCTCCCGAAGCCTGGAGGGAAAGGTGGGCAGGTGCTGGTAGAGCCTTCTTAGTATGGCTCGGGGCTTTCCTCTAGGATTGTTTGGAGCATGTCATCCGGAAGGTCTGTTTGGATTTGCACCATGTTTACCATTGGCTCAGGCTGGTCGGCCTCAAGGAAGTCGATCTAATAGAGGTCGTCGACGCGGCTGCGCTCGGCGTGGTCGACGAAAAAATGGTGCACGGCGTCCTGACAGATCGGATCCACACCCACCAGCCAAGAAAGAATAGGGCTTCGACATGCTCTCCGTCGGGGCAGGGAGTGGTTGGAGTTGAACGGTATGCCCTTCCGGAGTTGTCGTGATCACCAGATCAGAATCTGGCCGCATTGAACGAAGTGGCCGAGCGGTCGCTCTGTTGTAGCGGCTTGGTGATCTTGGAGTATGGGAAATTCGTCGCTCGCTTTGGATTGATCTAATACCGAACCCACGAGGAGCTGACATTCTGCTAAGCGATCTGTAACCCGATCGATGGATGCGATCAGATCATTATTGCTGATGGATCTCCTAACCCAGCGGCGGGGCGTCGAGGATCGAGAGATGTCGTTGCAAGTGTTAGCGCGATCGGCGCAGGGTGATCCTACACCGCTTCCACGATCTTCCCGTTGCTGTCGGGGCCGATGATCCAAGTCATGGATCCGACCATGAATATCTGGCCCAGCTTGGGAAAGCGAACATCTGGTTGGTCATGGAATCAGCACGCACACCCCCTACCGCGCGCCACTGTCGACGAAATCTAATCGGCAATCTATCGAGGGGTATACCCACGGTAGTAGATGATCGGTGGAGGTGCGCGTAATAAGAACCGGATGGTGACACGGGCGCAGAGACAACGATTTAGACAAGTTCAGGCCGTCTGATCGACGTAATACCCTACGTCATGTGTCTTTGGTTGATTGTATTGAATATGAGATGAATTCGATGGGGTCCCTACCCGCCTTATATAGTCTGGGGTAGGGTTACAAGTCGGTTTAGGCCTAGATCCATTCGGTTATATAGTAAGTATTTACAAGGAATACGATATCTATTATATCCGAAAAGATCTTCCTTCATCGCCAAGATGTCTTCTGATTTGTCTTGCGGTGCACGCCGACCAGAACTAGACACCGCAGGCCTTGATCTTATGAGCTGAACCTCCTCTAGTGAGCGGCCCATGTCAATTGTCTGGGTACCTGGGGTTATACCCCCACAAGAAGAGAAGAAAGAAGAAATAGTAGCCTCCTAAGTCCTACCTTCTTTTCATAAATCAATCATTGTATTCGTGCACTCACACATATTCTGCTTCCATAGGCACATTACCGGTAGATCTCGGAAGTGACAAAATCATAGGCACCTCGTAATAAATGAGTAGTCTATCACTAAAATAATAGTGTCATTAAATTTTGAAATAAAGTTAGAAAAATATAAGCACTCACGTTAACTCGAAACTTTAAACCTCACCACAAGAAACCTGCCGGTGCGATCCAAATTTGACACATGAGCCAAAACGGTATCAAGAGAAATTACCAATCACTAGTAGTGATTTGAGGTCTCTTCGTGCACATATCTTCTATACATTGATCATAAAGAAGTACACAAGTTTTCGAGATTCTGCTGTTGGACCTAGCTTAGGTCATGGGCACGGGCACTCGAACGAAGGGAACAAGCAAGAGATCATGAAGCCGTCGAGCCGTGACCCCCATTTCCTCCGTCATGTCTATATCCGTGGGCGTCATCCCAGGCGGCAGCTCCCAGTCAAAATGGTAAAGGAGGCTAGCGAGTGCAAGCTCCATGCTCACAAGCCCAAACGCCATGCCCGGGCACATCCTTCGTCCTGCCCCGAACGGTACGTACTCGAAGTCCGTCCCCTTGAAATCGACGCGGCTGCCTTCGAATCTTTCAGGCACAAACTCCTCAGGCCTGTCCCAGGAGCTGGGCTCCCTCGCTATCGCCCAGGCGTTCACGAACACTATCGTGCCCGCCGGCACGTCGAATCCTAGGACCTGGCATGAGCTCCGGCACTCTCGTGGAAGCAGAAGTGGCAAGGGTGGGTGTAGCCGGAGGCCCTCCTTGATGACCAGGCGCATGTAGTGCAGATTGCTCAGGTCGTCCTCTGTTACTCTCTGCTGGCCAGCGACGGCGAGCGTTTGTCGGACCTCGTCTTGCGCCTTCTTCATCACTCTTGGGTTCCTCATGAGCTCCGCCATGATCCACTGCAGCGTCGTCGCACCCGTCTCGCTGCCTCCGGCGAACATGTCCTGCACGGCACATACATAGTCAATTTCGTTAATAGTAGTATACTTGACATCGATGGATCGAAACACCATGGCTATGGTATTAAATTTGATTCTTTTGTGGATCTGGAAACTGCAGTGCTTACTCCGATCACTGTTTTGATGTTGTCGGTGGTGAGCGGAAACTGCAGGTCACCTTCCCTCTGAATCCTCAGCAGCACGTCGAGCAGGTCTTCCTTGTCGCCGTCGTCAGCTGCTCTGCTCTCCCCGTGCTCCTGGACCATGGCGTCCATGAACGCGTCCGCTTCCTGCCGGTGCTGCTTCATCCGGCCCGGCATCCGGCTGACGAGCATGGCGAGGCGTGACGACGGGTAGAGATCCGGCAAGCTCATGTTGCCGAAGAGCTTAAGCCCGCGCTCCAGCAAGGCCAGGAACGTGTCCCGGTCCTTGATCCGGCTCCCGATAATGGCGCGCACCGAGGAGTCGGCGGCGTACACGGCCAGCAGCTCGCTCAGGTTCACCGCCCGCGCGCGCGGCGCCGCCGCCGCCGCCGACGCCACGGCATGGAGGAGCCGCGCGGCCTCCTCCTCGCGGACGGGCCGGAAGGACTGGACGCGCCGGGCGCTGAGCAGCTCGACAGTGCAGATCTTGCGGGTCTGCCTCCACCCGTCGCCGTAGGGCGCGAAGACGATCCCCTCCGCGCCCTCGGGGATGGCCAGCCGGACCATCCGCGTCACGGGGCGCGTCGCGAATTCGATGTCCCTCGCCTTCATCACCTCGCGGGCGGCGTCCGCGGAGGAGGCCACCACGACGGGGAGCCCGCCGAGGTGGAGCAGCATCACCGGGCCGTGGCGCGCCGCCAGGTCACTCATGGCACGGTGCGGGAGCGCGCCCGCGAGGTGGTGCAGGTGCCCGATCACCGGGAGCGCCCACGGCGACGGTGGCAGCCGCGGGCCGCCGCCTCGACGGCCCACAGCTGCACGCCTGAGCCAGAGGAAGGAGACGACGGCCAGGAGGGGGAGGAGGAGGAGTAGGTGGACTGGAAGCGCCACCATTTCCATGGCGGCTTGGTGTTGGTGCTCGAACTATGAGTGGCCGGAACTGGAAGGAAGGAGCACCTCACTCATCACTCAAGACTCAAGTAGTCAAGTGCAGCTTTGACTATTTTATTTCACTACTGGTACAGTGGTATACTCCCTCTATCCCTTGTATCTGATATCGGATCAAATTTTCTCTATATTGACTAAATTTGTATAAAATATTAGTAGTATTTATATCTTTAAATAAATTTATTATCAAAATAGATTAAACGATCTATCTAATGATACTAATTATATATCGTAAATATTAATATTTTTTTATATATTTGTTTGACTTCTCGGTAAGTAAAAACAACCGGATGAAAAAGGACAGAGAGAGTATATTAAAAAAAAAAAGTGTTGCCTCACCTTCGACCTTTGTGAGGTAGCAAATGGAAGCTGATTTCTAGTCCGATGTACAGTGCATCTGTCCTTTCTCACTAGGACAGTTCTATGATATTGGCATCTTCTATACTCAAATATACTAGCGATAAGTTCATTGCCTTTGAAGCAGGGGATTTTCTTGGTATTTTGGCTGGTCTCATTTGGAGTGACTCAAGGCAAATGGCCAATTTTGAGCACGGAACATCACCGGAGTATGATTTGGACATCGAAGATAAAAAAAAGCAGATATGTTTCACCATTAAACTATAGAAGTAGAATAAATTTAGCCCTCTAGCAAGTTTTAAAGATGTCTCTACTTAGAAATATATCTGTGAGTTGCAATGGGAGAGGGATTCTCAAAAGAAGTGTTCAACAAAGATTATTGCATTCTAATTCTTTTTTGCATTTTTGTCCCTTTATGGAACAAAATAGAACTCATTATCTTTTCTCATGACAAAATTAGTATTGTTTATCATTGGTCAATGCATTCAGAGTTCCACTTACCGTAAATTTCTTCCTCTAGGCTCTATTTGCCTGACGTCCACAACAAGCCACACCTAAAATACAGCTTGCCTAAGCTGTAGCGAAATGTGGCGCTTAAATTGTGCGCCAAATATTTGCCGAGCTACGGCCATCAAGAACACTAAAGGACACCAATCCAGCCAAACTTTGTCAGAGCTTAGTTAGCAACCAAACATGAGCCTGACCACGCCACAGCTTGGGTGTGGCTACTTGTGGCAAGCTGCGGACACCAACCAGACAGAGACAAGTGACCAGCTTTAGCACCAGAGGGGACGGAGCCACACCAAACACTCTCACAAAGAACAGTGCCTCTGGCCACCAAAGCATGGAGCCGAAGCTATTTTCAAGTACGGATGGAGCTGCAAAAACTCTTTAATATCTGTATTTATAAATAAATATGGATAACCGTATGTGTTTTCACGGATACTCGTTAGGATTTCCAAACTTCAATTTTCACCTCTAGTTCCGTCTCACGCACTGAGCTCCCCTCCGGTCCTATCCTATACATTCCTATTCTTCTATTCACCTCAGATCCCATCTCGAACGAAAAAAAAAATCCCTTTTACCTGCGCAACACTCTGGACACTCGTTTTGGATCGCTGGACAAGTGGAGAGTGCACATGCAGACAGGCTGCTCCGCGTGACCGCGTCGATGAAGGGGTAGTGCAGGATGAGGGTGACATGTGCAGGATGAGTGGTATTCGGCGATGCCTTGGCTGCATGCCAGTCGCCCAGTCTGCCTCCTACTCAGCAGTGGACCCAGAACTTTCTATAAACGTCTAATGGCTAAGTATGAGATTATGCTTAATCTCTTAACTATCAGCCCGTTCGGTTGGGGCTGCCCTCACATGGGCACTATTTACATGAACCAGACAGCAGTACTTCTCTTTCACATAAACGAATCAGCAACGATATGAACCAGCCAACCGAACAAGCTGTATATAGGCAAAACAATGATTTTATATAGGAGAGTTGGCGCCGATGAGCCCGGGCGGCAGCCCAAGGTCGCCGGAATCCCTATATAAGATTTCTGCACCAAAAGCGAGCACCCAATAGTGCCACGTCATCTGCTAACTCACGAGCCATTGGATCAAGTGAACTCATGATACGAGCCATCCGATTGCGGATCGGTTCGGTCCCGCCCGTTTCTTCGAGACCTTGCAAGCCTTCTCGGTCTGGCGTCTTTGTGCTCGAACTATGAGTGGCTGGAAGGAAGGAGCACCTCACTCAAGACTCAAGTAGTCAAATGCAGCTTTGACTATTTTATTTAAAGACAAAATCCGTTGCCCCACCTTCGACCTTTGTGAGGTAGCAACAAATGAAAGCTGATTTCAGTCTGATGTACAGTACGTCTTTCCTTTCTCTGATATTGACATTTTCTATACTCGAATAAGTTCATTGCCTTTGAACCAGGGGATTTTGTTGGTATTTTGGCTGGTCTCATTTGTCGCGACTCCATATTTTGAGCACGGAACATCGCCGGAGTATGATTTGGACATCGAAAATACAAAAAAACGGGAGGGATTCTCAAAAGAAGTGTTCAACAAAGATTATTGCGTTCTAATTCTTTTTGCCTTTTTGGCCGTTTATGGACAAAATAAAACCCATTATCTTTTCTCATGACAAAATTACTGTTGTTAATCATTGGTCAATGCATTCAGAGTTCAACTTACCCTAGATTCCTATCACTAAGTGGCCAGCTTTAGCACCGAAGGGGACCGAGCCACACCAAACACTTTCACAAGGAAAATCGCCTCTAGCCACCAAAGCATTGAGCCGAAGCTATTTTCAAGTAGGAATGTGGAGCTGCGAAAACTCGACCCAACCAATGACTTACTACACATGTTAGTCCTATTGATCGTTTATATCATTTTAATCACCAAATCAATATGTTCTCTACACACCACCCATTGTGCCCACACCGCCATCACCACCACGCACACATATCCATTTTTTTCCTAAACATTTTTTTCTATGTGAAATACGTCTCTTTGGTGGAATTATTTTCCCGCTTGAAACGATTCTTGTTATGATTGTTTCTGCGGAGGAAAAAGAAGTTCTTTGTAGAGAACTTAAAAATGCTCTAGAGGAATTAAAAAAAAACACTCAAAAGAAGCGTGGCATGATGCATTTCATGCAGTTGGATATGAGTAGGGATGGCAGCGGGTCAGGTATGATGCAGATAAAGTATTTACCCGTCCGCGAGCATGCCCACGACCCTAATTTTTACCCGCCCACGAGCATACCCGCGAGTAAGATTTTGTACGTGGGTACCTGACGAGTACCGGGTACCTGACGAGTATATTCAAGAGAGTTCAAATAATAAAATTACAGTGATATGAAATAATAAATTCATAGTTAAACAACACATAAATATATCAATCTCACTTCCATAGAGTTCAGTAGGACTATACAAAACCCATAGGTACCCACACCCTATTTATATCTTTGCGCGTACGATCCTTATGTACCCACGAGTGTGTTTTCATGCCTATAACCACACCTATCAGACATGCCTGGCCCTGGGGGGGGGGGTTTCGAGCTGGGCCGCCGCACTGGGCCCTCGAGGCCAGGGGGCCCAACCCCAAATGTGCAAGTAGAAGTAGTATTCTGTCTATGGCCCATAGGAACAGCTGAACCAGGCATACGAGCTGAACCAGGCATACTGACTCCGCGTCGATTCTGCTCGCCTTCCGCCGCGCGGCCGCGACTCCGCCTTCCTGCACGAGTGAGTGACTCGCCGACTCCTGTGCGAGGCTGCGAGCAGCGAGCGATCCCATGCGTCTTGGTGATCTCGAGTGCGAGGGGCCGCTGGCTGGCGGCATCCACTTCCGTCTGTTCCTGGCTTCCTGGTCTTCGTATACGGAGGTAAGAATTAAGAAACCATGTTAAATTAAGCGGCCAAGCCCCCCTAATCAGTTTTTGCTCTTGTCCCCAATCTTTATTCTTTACTTCTTTAGATTTGGGATTTAGGAATCTCATATGGTGCAGCAACCATGTTGAATTTAGTATGACATATTTTTTAATTACTTACTACTTTTCTAAATTTACAGTGAACTCATGTTGCCCAAAAAGCATGCATAAAATGAGAAAAGAAAAAAGAAGAGAAGGATAGTGTCGATACAGAAAGTGACCAACAAGTGAATATTTGTAGTTTTACTGTACGTTGTGATTGGAGGTGGCCTTGCACTCAATGACACATGATTTATACTGGTTCAGGCAACGTGCCCTACGTCCAGTTTGGGTCGTTCGGTGACTTTATTCCTAAGCCCAGGTGCTCGAAGTCTGTAGTGGGGTTACAAACGAGAAGGAGAAAGGTGGGGTGTACGAGAGGCCCGGTCGGGTCCGACCGGAAGGGCCGAGGGCGACCGGAACCCCGCTGTGAGCTAGGTGCTCAAGCGTGTGCTTGAGGGGTTGTGAGCTATCGATCTAGTGAATCTGGTGCTTGAAAAAGTCGACCTCCTTTTGTTGGAGGGAGTGCATCTCCTTTTATAGATAAAGGGGATGCTTTATAGGTGAGAGGGATAGAGTACTGATGTTTCGAAGCCTTGTTGCCCATGCTAACGAGGGTAGCGATGATGGTAGGCGCCCACAATACTGTTGATATCACTGTAGAATGTCAGGTGCACATGGGAGGTTGTGTTGGCTTCTTCAGAAAGGGTGGATGTTGGTACCTGTAAAAATACTGTTGGTATGTGAGGAGCCCTACCATATGTACCAGGTATGGTGAATCCTGACGCCCACAGTACTACCGATGCCCAGAGGCATGTGGGGGGCTTATTGTCGTATGAGAGCCCAACGACGCCTACAATACTGTAGATACAAATGTCGGTGCCTACAATACTATTTGTGTTAGGACGGTTGTGAAGCACTGCTCCCGCAGGCGTACAGGGTACGGTCCCGGTATCATGGTTTGACTTGTGCACTGCCTTCTCCGTTCGCCCTTGGTCCCTTCCCAGTGGATGTCCCCGGTCGGATGACCCCAGTGGGCCCTGGTCGCGCCAGTCGGAGAAGAGCGGTAAGCAGGCTTCCTACGGGTCCTCGGTCGGAGTCGCTGTAACACCCTAAAATTTGCC